CAGCAGTACTTGAAGGTTCAGTTTTCCTAAGAACAAAATCCCGTGTTCTGCACAGGCTACACCAATGTTTGCAAACACGTGACTGGAGGAAATGACTTTTCACACACAGACAAAGAAAACAAAGTCAGACAACGGCAAACAACGAAGCATGCATGCATGGAGCTGCTGGGACACCCAGTGGAGTAGCGGCCAGATCTACACACCACACAAACGGCATGCTCATGTTTTAAAAAGCTCAGAGAACAGGAAGACACCAGAAGGAAAACAAATCTGTATCAGAACACAGCAAAAACCAACATCTGAAAACTGGCAATGTGGGAGAATACCTTAAAACTGAAAATAAGTGACACGCCAGGCAGAGATCATCCACCCACCATTAGGAACCGTGAGCCTCCAGGAAAGGGCCGCCTTGTCAGACGCCGCTGCTCAGCCCTGCTCAGTGGTCAGTGAAAAATATCCTCCAAAAACTACACTGATACAAACACATTTTCAGACACGTTACAGTAGGGAGAACTCATGGGAAGCAGAGAAGAAAGAACTGAATGTGTGTTGGCTGCAAGCAACCCACTTTAGGGCTAGCAAGACGGCTCAATGGGTAAAGATGCCTGCTGCCAACCATGGTGACCTGGGTTCAATCCCCAGGACCTGCTTAAAGAAGGAGAGCACTGACTACCTTGGGTTGTCCTCTGGCTGTCATAAGTGTATGTGTGCATGTACAGACACACAAAATAATAAAAGTCTTTTAAAAATATTTGACAAACTAAAAATGTGACTTCAGCAAAGAACTGATACAAATGGTAGTGAAAGACCAGATGCTGAGAAGAGAGAACCATGGGTTAAGACAGTAGCAGTGCTACTGCAAAGCTTTTGCAATTGCCAAAACCAAACCACAACAAAACAAAAAAGCAGAAACACAAAGACCTAGTGTAAAGCAGCTGAAACCCTCGCAGGAGGCTGGAGCGAGTGCACAAGAGCATGGGCCCTGGGACAGCCTGGAAATTTCTCATCGGTCCACACACACATTCTCAGAACAGTCTGGCAATCCTGTGCCTAGGCATTTACCCTCCCAAGTTCTGTTGGTAAATTTCTATTGCACATTTACTTGTTATGCCTCAAAACTGGAAAGTTGTGTGCTTTCCATTAACTTGTGAACGGATGACGCAATGGTGGTGTATGCCCAGAACTGTGCCACTACTGCAGACAGAGGCACCAACACTGAGCAGGCTTGGGAGCCAGACCCTGTAAGAGTCCATTTTTGCCAAGCTACAGGGATGGAAACTGCATCAGGGCTGCAGAATGCTGGTCCTTCTGGGAAGCCAAGAATACTGCCGATGCCCATGTGTCCATCGAAACCCACAGAGCCGTGCGTCACAAATGAGTTTAGCAGCATACGATTTACACTTAAATTGTAAGTAGTACCCAACAAAAGCTATAAAAAAGGTCTTAACAGTGCTGAGCAGGTGGGCGTGAGTCGGCACCAGCCACTCACTGTGACTTACTGTACTGAGAAAATGTAGACAAGACAGGGATGCCAACAAACATAAACAGCAGGCTACAGGAAGGTTTTTTTTTTTCTCTTAGGATTTGTATTCACACCTTTTTGAAGTGTCCTTCCAGCTAGGGGACAAATGGGTGACAGAGTGTTAATTCTAGACTCAGTTATAACATATGGCAGCCATTTCAGGAGTGCTATCTCTCTTTCTTCGATCACTAGTCTGACGTGTGTTCTACGATGCCATGAACATACCTACAGGGAGGGCCAGGTAGGGAAGGACTGGAACCCAGGAGCAGCCAGCTAAGCTGGTAAGCAGCCTCTCAACAAAGCCAGAGTCAGTCACCTCTCAGCCAGGCCTCCTCTCATCCCTGCCTCAACCCCGTGAGGTGGTCATCAGCAGGAGTTGACCTGGCCGGGTCAGTTTGGGGATATCTGTCATACAGCACAACCTAACATGGTGGTCAAATACAAAAAGAAATATGATCTATTTAGCAAACCTTAATTAAGGGTTACACAACAGACAGTGAAAAAACCTGTGGTCCTTAGGAATAAAAATACATGGTCTTTATGAGAAATCATGAAACATGTGTGAGGGACAAGGACTACCTCATTAGAAAGAGCCATTCACCAGTGTCCTTCACTGTCCAACCTCAAGCTGTAGGCACTCATCACCACAGTACATTCAGTTAAGGAAACCTTCCCCTAGGATGGAAACACTACCAGCAGCTAGTAAAGACAAATAATGCTTCAGCATGTTGGTGTGACTGAGTCCCATGGAGGTTTATAGAAGACGTTGACAATGCGGCAACCTAAGGCCAAGTCATTATAAAACAAAACCCAAAAAACCCAACCCATCAATCTAAAAAAGAAAAAACCCCACAAAACAAACAAACAAAACCCAAACCAATCCATGTCTATAGAGAATACCACACAGAAGAACAAGAAGCCAGGAATTAAAATGAAAGGCTTGGTGTTTCAAACTCTGTGGTTCTTCCCACAGAACTGGTATCAAAAAAAAAAAAAAAGCACATGACAAAAAAAATATGAAAGGAAAAGTGAAATTAAAAAGACAGGGCAATGCAACATAAATTTCTGAAAATTATTTCACAGGAAACCATTGAAGTCAGCACTAGTCTCACTAGCTGTGACAGTCACGGAGCCTTCCTGGGCTGGCACAGGCCAGACTAGGCCTGCAGCCCGGTCCTTGGCTTACCAGTCGTCTGGCTTGACTGCAGTGGGATCGGGGATCTTGGCTCTGTCATCCCACTCCTCTGGCTTTTTATCACTGGGGTCATCGATTTCTCTGGGTGGGTTGATAGGCGGGACCACATCATCCAGCAAGGTCCCTTGGTTTACAACTTTCTGATCGATTAATATTTCGAACGTATCGTCCGGGTTCATCACTAAAGAACAACAATTTCAACACTTGACGATTGGTATCTGGAGAGATGGAAAGCTAATCTTCTAAATAATAAAATGACTAAAATTTATGGGTACATTTTTTCTCCTAACCAGGAAAAACCAATATATTGAATCAAAACTTGCTGAAATCACTAGCTACAGTATTTTCTAAAATGAAGATAACATTTGTTTTAACTCATTTTTTCAACAGTGAAAAATTCCATTATCTCCACAGGTAAAATTACCCAACAGCTAGCTGACCCTCGTGGGGACTCATGGCCACAAAGTATCCCTCTTTACAGTTACAGAATATAGCCCAATCTTCTTCATATTAAGACAAACCTCTCAGACTTAAGAGGTTGCAAATATATCACAAAGAACTTAAACAGTTTCAGAACCACTTGAGAGTTCCTGACCCAACATACATCACGCTCTTAAAAATGGGTTTTCCTACAAATGTACATTTTTGTACATAAACCCACCCAGGGAACACTATCAGGAAAGACGCATTGCTAAGTAACCTCCATTCTGGAATCTCCTCTTCTGATACCCCTCACACCCCGTTTATTTAACACAACTTATCTTCCCCCAAAGATAAACTTCTTAAAGTTTTATTTTCTCCTGAAAGCACAAGCCATCAGCATCTCCATGGAAACAAGAACTTTTTGAATGAATGAATTAAAGGTGTACCAAGGGTATAGAGGTGAGTCTTCCTGTCTGTAAAGAACTCTTTCAGATCGACATCTGGAGGTTTGGCATGCTTTTCTTCAAAAACTCCAGTTTTGGGATGTTTGTGTCTGAAGATTAAGTGAAGTTTATAGTCTTCTCCACATTTATCTGGTCCAAACATGATGGTATAGGATGTTTTATCATAAAAGTTTTCCTTCAAAGAGAGAGAATGGTCCTGGTTAGTCCAGAGTTCATGGCACACTCTTTGACTTTCTTCTGTCCAATAGGCAGAATTTACAGACTATATTAAATACCAACTTATCAAATGACACAAAGACAATAAAGGATATGGCGGAGTGAAAACTTTGCTTCAAAGTAATGTGTTACTTTTAAAAAGCACACACTACTCCTTCCCGAGAATACTTGGAAGAGCTCAGAAAAACTTCAATTGCTTTATGCAAATAAGCCTTAGCAGTTCATGGGGAACTAGGCACATGTATGACCTTAGACTAAAATGATTATTCATTACCATTATTAGGAAGTTACCAGGAAATGATCCTTAGTTAAAAAAATGTGCTCAGACACAGAGAGGCACTCCCGATTTGATTTCTCATGGGGTCTGTCCTCCAGCATGCTATCGTGGCTCCAGAGTATGGGTCTGCTGCACTCAGAACCTCCGGCTACTACACTGAGGCTGAGCAAGCTTCTGCGCCCTCCGGATCCCTGTGAGGCCTCAATGTGGAGATGATAGTTCCTCCCTTAGAAGGGCTCTGAGGATTCCCTGGGTCCAATTAAGTACTTAAAAGGAATTTAAGCCAACTCTGTCTTTGCCACTCTCCCACTAAGATCTACAAGACCTAAAAGGAGAGCCACTGCATCCTACAAACGGCCTCTCTTACCTTATCCTAAAGCCAGCAGTGCAGAAAGCAGTTTCTGCTGTGCACCATGGAGTTGGCCCACAGCAAAGTCATCTCAACCAGAACAGGGGCTCTTACTTCTGTTATAGTCAGACCCCTGGCAGAGCTCCCACTGTGGAACACTGTAAGAAATGTCCCCAAACTATCAGAACTCCAAAGCTACTTTGGTCTTTTCTGTGTGCAGGCAACACAAGAGAGGCAGCTTTTAATGTGGGCTTTGTGCCATCATTTGACTTCTCTGGACAAACTTGTGAGGAACTCCAGTTGGATACTCCATGAGCTTCTCTAAGCACCGTAACTTCTACCACAGGTAGAGCACAGTTCTTTATGTCACTAGAGAGCACAGAGTCGAGGTCTCCATTACACAGTACAACTAGGTATGAATCTTGACAGTGAACTGTAAAGGCCATGTAAACTCATGTTGATAAAGACATTGAAAATGACTTTTCAGTTGTTGTCAACCAGCCCTTAAAATACTTACTGACTTTAACAAGGTGTTCTTAGATATTAAAATGTCATACCAGAATCAAATCACCAGTGTCTGCTAGCAGTTTAATGTATGCACCTCCACAATCAATACCATCTTGAAAATTTACTTCATATCTAAACGGAGGGAAAAAGAACCACACTGCTGATAAGTGTTACTCATTGCTTGTTAAAGTTAACGAATTACTCTCACCGCCCTTAAGCAGAATTACATTAGCACCAAGCTCACTCATGTGAAGAATACTGTGAGCACAAATGCTAGTCTAATCTACAAGTCAAGTTATGATGTTAAAATCTTTAGAAATAATTACAGTCAATGGAAGAAAAACCAACCACCTCATTTACATAACCTCTCAACAAAAGTATTAACGTGGGGATAAAGAGATTTTTAACTAAAACTGCAACAGGGAACCTCAAAATATGATGCAGTCAGTTCTCCCTACAGTCTCCTTAGCGAGGTATCAAACCCAGGGCAAACACTTGACTACTGAGCCAATCCCTGGCCTCCATGCTCTGTATAAACCCAGCTATATCAGGTTTCTCAGAGCCTAATGATAACGTTGGAGATTCAGAATCCAACACTAACTTTTATTTTAACTCAACCCCACCCAAACTGTGCCCAACAGTTTTAGTTCACTGAGTTTCTCTAGCTAAGAGTTTTCAGATTTTCACCCAATAATTGGATTTTCACACCAAAATGGCCATGAGAAAGGGAAACCTCCACTGTCTAAGATGACAGCTATGAGTCTCTCATAGATTTACAACATACAACAAGTCTCCGGCAATTTTGTTCTTTTTTAGGTTGTGTTTTTTAAAAAAATAACATTGCTAAGATAGCAAAACAGAAGCTTAGGTGTCTGATGACACATGGGGGAAAATCCAAAAGTAGTTGCTAAAGTGAAAAACAGTAAAGAGAGAGAGAGAGAGAGAAAGAGAGAGAGAGAGAGAGAGAGAGAGAGAGAGTGTGTTAAGTGAAGTAACAAAAATATAAAGTAAAGATACCAGCCACAATGCTGGTTATTTAATGAATGGTATAGTTATAAACATTTCCCAAGCAACTTCAGGGACAAGATGAAAAATAATAGCATATATAATCCTCCAGCTTGAACCTAATTGATATACACACTTGTACCAGAGAGAGAGAGAGAGAGAGAGAGAGAGAGAGAGAGAGAGAGAGAGAGAGAGAGAGAGAGAGAGAGAGAGAGAGAGCGCGCAAGTGAGAGAATGAGGGAGGGAGACATATTTAAGAATATAACTTGCAAGCCTGTGGAAGATCCCACGGGTGCTGTATTTCCCAAGTTGCCCACGAGTGCTGTATTTCCCAAGTTGCCCACATGAGGGCGCTCTATGCACATCCTCTCAAATAGCAAAGACCTAACCAGCTTCTTGATCCATCTGCGTGCCCCAATGACGTCCTGTGTGAGCTGGGTTCTATTTGCACACCTATGGTGTGGGGCTTGGCCCTCACCCACTTAAAAAACTAAAGGTGATTTCAATGATACAGGAATAAAGGTTGAAAAATGTCACGTTCTGTTATGGGACTTAGCAAAAACAGTTGTTTAAAAAAACCATTTGTTTCCCTTAGTGTTAAGTTTTACTTAAAACACAGCTTGACAGTTTCTTCATGGAGCTCATATCTTTGAAAAACAAAACAGGAGAAATGACGCCTGGGGTAGTTTAAAGGTGGTCATTTTCAGGAAATTTAAATACGGAAAGATATTGCTGTATTCCAGGTGACTTAGGGGCAAAGAGTCCTCCAGGAAGTGTACATGCTAGAAGGAAGAACATCACACACAACTCTAAAGACAGACAGCGGCTTTGCTGTCCTGCCAGGCTGAAGCAGAGTCACTCTGTTCATTTCTTAGCCTGCAAACTTTCTGTTTCTGAACATTGACCCTGCAAGGCCTGTCTGCAAAGGCGGTGATCTGAGATACTTCAGAACCGGAGACAGGCGGATCCTGAAGTTACATAGAGCCCAGCAACTTGGTGAGACCTTGTTTTAAAATAAAAACTGCAAATAGCTCGGGATCTGAGGCAGAGCATTTGCCCAGCATGCAGCAAGCTCTGGTTTCAACCACCAGCACCATTAGGAACAAACCCACAAACTCACGAGCATTAACCTGCTAGTATAAACCATACACAGTGGACGGGGGGGGGGGGGCGACAACAAAATGTCTCTCACCACATAAGGAGGCTGCCACTAACCATTGAGCCACAAGAAACCGAGAGCACACAAAGCCCTGTGTGAATCCTGATTTCTCAGAAACGAAAATGTTGTTTACCAAACCATTCTATGAAACGGTTAACAGAAGAAAACGAACGGACACGGTCAAGCAAGCTTGGGAGAAGTAACATCAAAGCTACAAATGGTTTTATGTGCAGATCTTCGAACCTGGAATGGGCTCATGTGCTTTCTTCTCAGGCTAGACCGTCTCTAATTTTCAAAGCCTGTGTGATCACATAGCAAACACAGGCAGGATACGCCTTTGGGGATGGATCCATGTTCTAGGGATACCTGCTGTGTACCCCAATCTGAAATCTGAAACCTCCAAAATCCAAAACACTTTGAGAATCACGAGGTCAATCAAACTATTTCAAGTTTCAGAGCAATAGCTGGTTTAGGTGCTTTGAGAAACTGAAAGAGACCCAACGACACCATGCCTGTGCCAACAAACAAACAAACAAACAAACAAACAAACAATCAAACCCCAAACCAAACCCCAAACTGTAGAGGGAGGCGTTGATTCCCTAATTGGTTCTCGATTGTGTCAATAAGGGAGGCGGAAGCAAATTGCTAGGCGAAGGGAAAAGGGTGGGACTTCTGGGTCCCAGGGGGAGGAGACTCAGAGACAGAGGAACCTGGACCAGGCTTTGGACCGAGGAGGAAGCTTCAGTCATATAGGTCTTGGGGCACCTGCGGTTGTAGCCTCCGCCGAGGGAGGGGGTCAAGGAAGTTGGTGGGAGCTAGCCATTACGTTATCTGGCTAGTTTTAAAATAATAAAACTGTCAGTGTTTTCCATGGTGGGGCTAAGGTGGACAGGAGGAGAAAGAGGGCAGCCAGGGCAGTTGTTGGGGCCTTGATGAAGCTAGCTGTGAGGGGCTGGGGGAAGCCATAGCAGCTCCTGGGAAAAACGGCCAACTGGCTGTCGGTGAAGATAAGACCCGAGGCTGCTGATCTCAGAGCCTCGCTGGGAGGAGCTCCGGCAGAGCTCCCAAGAAGGCGGAAGCATGGTGTTTTTTGTTTTTTGTTTTTTTTTATTACATGCAACCCCAACCTCACAATTGCTATGGAGTTTTGAGGGAGAGTGTGAAGGATACAACAGAAATGCACAAAGGAGATCTGGGACCACCTCATAAAGACGGGTCAGGCACACAGCATCTAGCTCCCATCTCTCCAGCCAAGACCAAGTTAGAACCCAAAGGGGCTCACAAAGTGGAGAATGGGCCAGTAGGAGGCTTCTGACAATGCCAACTAATAATGCCGTGGTCGATGACTTAGTTGTTACAGAAGAAACTCACTCAGCCTTCGAAACACAGCTCAGCTTAGGAAACCCACACTACCGAATTACCCTAAAACACTGCCCAGCTCATACGGCGGCGTCTGACACCAGCTCATACGGCGTCTGACCCCATCCAGGCTCCCGATGAGAACCTGCCCAGATGTGGCCCCGCAAGGCAAGGCAGGCAAGCCGTCTCTCATTTACCCTTATCCTGGAAAGCACCCAGAGGCCTGCCCTACACAGACTGGCCCACCAAGACTGCAAACAAGGAGCCAAGTCAAATCGATCCTCAGTTCCTGGAAGCATCTGGGCATCCACCTTGAGCAGCACCTCCGTCTAACAAGGTCCTTCAGAGGCTGGTACACGGCTGGATGAGCATCCTGCCCCATAGGCAGGAACGTTCCACCACGGCATCGAAAGCAGCATTTCTCAACCTGTGCGTCGTCTGACGCCTTTGAGGTTTGAAATACTTTTTCACAGGGGTCACATACCAGATATTTACATTACAATTCATATTCCAAGCTAAATTACAGTTATGAGGTAGCAATGAAAATAATTTTATGGTTGGGGGCAGTCACCACAACATGAGGAACTGGATTAAAGGAGTTTTGAGGGAGAGTGTGATGCATACTAGGGCTACGGCAGAGCTGCAAATGGAGATTTTGCATCAATAGGAAGGTTGAGAACCCTTCTATTCTAGAGACTCTGTATAACTTTCAGCTACTCAAACATGATCCATGCTAAGCCCCCAGAAACCATAAGTTCCCTACCCGGACTGGTGGGAATGCTACATCATGCTACCCTGAATCCATTGGAGCACCGCCCCTCCCAAAAAAACCCCAAAGCAAACCTGGGGAAATTGCCAAACATGCTCCACCTGAAAGAGCTGCATTTCTAGCTGACAGAGTAGTCCCACAACCTCCCCCCCCCCCCGCACACCCGTATCACTGAGACTCCTGCAGCCGTCAGTTTTATAGCTGAAGATGCTACATGACAACACACCATTATGTCCATGGAGAAAGAACTAAAACCAGTGCAGCCCGCCCAGCCAGCACCCCAGCATTCACTGTCTGCTGCACAAAATCCTGACAGACAAGCATCAGTGTGGTCAGAAGCAGTGTAAGCGCTGGGTTACCCAGCTGCACACAGGAAGCACACTGCACTGGGAAGAGTCACAGAGACGGGACGGGAAGTAGGAGGTTTGTCACTCAAATGGAAGAGAGTGATTCCTCTTGCACCAGGCAGAGAACAGACCAGTCAAGCAGAGAATCGCTGAATTTAAACTATTCCAGACCAACAGGTGGCTCCAGAGTGTTCTCGAGCAGCTGCAGATAGACTTCTACCCATCAGGACCCTGGGCTTTCTCCACGAGAGACCACATGCCAGTTTACGCAATGAGTCTCACAAGTTAGAAATCATTGGCTAATACTTAGACTATATGGAACACTCAAGAGCAAATAGAAAAAACTTTCAAAAATCCTATTAAAAATATGTGCACACCACAGGGACAGACCTAGGCCCTCTGAACACATGTAACAGTGCTGCAGCTGGGTCTTCAAGTGGACCCCTAACAGCAGGAGCAGGGGCTGCCTCTGACTCTGCTGCCTGCCCTTAGATCCCTTTTCCCTAACTGGGCTGCCTTGTCTAAGCCTCAATAGAAGATGTGCCTAGTCTCTTACTGCAACTTGAGAAGCCAAGGCGGGTTGATAACCATGGGAGACCTCTCCTTTTCTGAGGAGAAAGGGAAGAGGGTAATGGGGGGAGGGAAGGTGAGTGGGAGGGATTGAGAGGAGAGAGGGAACTGAAGCAGTGATCAGTAAATAAATAAATTAATAAAAAATATGCATGCTTCAGGAGGCAGAGGCAGGCCAATCTCTGAGTTTGAGGCCAGCCTGGCCTACAGAGTGAGTTCCAGGACAGCCAAGACTACACGGAGAAACTCCATCTCAAGCAAACAAAAAAGAAAGAAAGAAAGAAAGAAAGAAAGAAAGAAAGAAAGAAAGAAAGAAAAAGGAGAAAAAAGCAATAGACCTACACAGACATTTCTCAAAAGAAGATACACATGAGTAAAGATGTATATTTAAAAAAATATTCTACCATGAATCAGGAAAACACAAACCAAAACCTTACCCAGTTGGAATAGCTTTAATGAAAAACAGATAACAAAAATAAAAAAAACCCACCCAAAAATAAACAAAATACTGCTTATGATGTCAAAAAGGTAATTCTTTTTTTCTTTTTTCTTTTTTTTTTTTTTTTGGTTTTTTCGAGACAGGGTTTCTCTGTGTAGCCCTGGCTGTCCTGGAACTCACTCTGTAGATCAGGCTGGCCTCGAACTCAGAAATCTGCCTGCCTCTGCCTCTCAAGTGCTGGGATTAAAGGCGTGCGCCACCACCGCCCGGCAAAAAGGTAATTCTTATATATTGATGGTGGGACTACAGATTAATGCAGCCACTATGAGAAATGGCACCAGAAGTGTACTATGAGCCACTGTCAGATCTCCCAGGACTGGGGACGTAGTCACAGGGAGTGAGTGCATCAGCTCATGAGATGCTGGCCCTTCTGACGATCACTCAGCACCATTCTCAATGGCTTGATGTATAGTTAACTGACATGTGGCTAAGGAAGAGGAGGTCCAAAGGAAGACTGCTGCGTCATCTAAAGGCATTAAGTAAACTTACTCACAGCAACATGGCTGGTACCCTGGAGCATCACATTAAGTAAAATAATTCCAGCAAAACCACCCAGACATACACCACCTGCTCTCATTCCTTTTTTGAAGGAAAATATGGATTTAAGAGAAGTGAAAAGGAGTTATTTATTGGTGGTTTGGAAGGAAGGAGGGAAGAGAAAGACCAAGGACCAAAATACACTCAGAAAGGAGGAAGTTCTCCGGCCTCTGCATCAGTAGGTGACTACAATAACTTATGTCCTAGAAAGGACCAGAAGACAGACAGGGTCTCAACACAAAGATGTAACAAGTGTTTAAAGAGACAGAAATGTCAGGTTGCATCCCACACTGACTGCAACACATATATTAAATGATCAAACACCAAATAGGTAGTGCATGTGTAAAATTAAGGTTTTAAACAGATATTATACAGAAAAAGTAGCACAGTAACTGTTGCTATTTGAAGAAGTGGTCACAGAACTTAGAAGAATGTTCCAACTTCAAAGCATTTCAGACTTCAGGTCAGGCGTGCTCAAACACGCACTGACATGGCCATGGAAAAATGGCACCAAAAATGTCAGCAAAAACCAAGTGCCACTCACAGCATTTAACATAGCATTTTAGCCCATTTGTCTAAAATTTGACCATTTAGCCCATTTGGTTCAGTTCTTGACCCTCTATTTTTTCAAAATAATAATTTCACAGTTGTTTGAAAAATTATTAGGTGTATTTTCTTGTTTGCTTCTTATCTGGAAAGACTTTTTCTTTTGTGACTCATATTGAAAACATTACTGAAAACATTTTTTTCTTTTGTGACTCTTACTGAAAACATTATTGAATTTTGTCTTGGCTTCCTTCACAGCCCCTTTCAAATGAACGGTGCATTCACAGGGTGGTGTTGTGTACACCTAACTTCTAGGAGACTAGAAAGGCTACTTTCCAGTTCTCCAGGGAGGGCTGTGGGGATGGCTCAGTAGTGAAATTGCTTGACACCCAAGCATCAGGACCAGAGTTCAGATCCCCAGAACCCATGTACAATGTCAGGTGAGCATGGTGGCCCGCCTGTAGCTCCAGCCTCAGCAGGCAGAGGCAGGGGTAGTCAGAGAGCAGGCTGGCTACAGAGACTAACCATGCTGCAGACAGAGAGACTGTCTGTGAAGTGTGGATGAAGGATGCTTCCCAGTGCAACTCAGACCTCTATATACACACACACACACACATATACACACGCACACACACAACTGCACACACACAACTGCACACACACCATGGAGGGGGGAGGAAAAAGAAGAAAATTATCAAGGAAAACAAAAAATCAGACCAAATCTTAATAGTAAATAATACCAATGTAGCTAATGTTACTTTAATTAGTTTATATAATGGCAAACCCTCCTTGTCTACATGGGATTGGATAGCTACTGAAACGGACTCATACAGACGGGGCAGCTAACCCAGGAAGGAGCACTGCTCACGGTACCGGCAGAGAGCCACAGAGTCTGCAGGCCTGTGGGGACTACCGCTCCTCTGGAGGACATATTGACCCGGGACAGTTTCTGACCCAAGGCAGCCTGTGATTAACGCTAGCTTACTTCCTTCCCTCTGCCAGTGAACAGGGAGGGGTTTTCAGAGCCTCCATCACTTTGGCTTCAAGCTCTGTGGGTGAGAGCAGGTTGGGAGTTTCTATGTGACCTTGGGGCAGTGTACATGCAGACCCCAGGGCTGATGTCAGTGCATGGGGAAGAGATTTCAGACATCATGGGGCTTTAAAAAGAGCTCCATGCTCGAAGGACACTGGCCTGCACACACATTTCCCTGCTGAAACCAATTTGCTGCCTTCAAACTCTGTTCTGAATATCCTGAGGTGTCTATCTTAACTAGAAAAGCTAAGACAAGAGTGTTGACTTAATTGCCATCCTTTATGGAGCCAGGATTGTGCCAATAGGATATGAGATGTGACAGGTTATTCCTAACCTATTCCCCCACCCCGAAGCCCAGGGTGTGGTTATGTATACACATGTTTGTCTATGGACCTGGAAAGGAAAGGGGAGATTTGTGTGTGTGTGTGTGTGTGTGTGTGTGTGTCTGTGCACAGCACCAAAACCTAACATACATTCAGATGCCAAGTTATAGCAGACTAATACAAGTGAAAAAGTCTTAAAACTTACTGAACTATCAAAGGTTTGTCGGCAAAAATAAAGGGTTTTGCGAGGACAGCAGATATTGCGTGGTGCTTGGCTTTAGACTTCAGAACCAGCCCTCTGTCACCAGGCACCTGGTTTTCCTTTAGCTCTTCGATTTCCCATCTTCCTGAAGGAGAAAGCAAAGGAAATGAGCTGCATCAGAAGACACACAACTTCACCTCTCATTGTTGTCAGCACTCATCCTTTCCCGTGAAAACTGACTATGGAGAAAATAAAACCATAAAGTGTATCAGAAAATAATTCCTTAAATCTGTATTTTCCCCTCTCCTTCCTTCCCGTCTTTTCTCTTCCTTTCTTTTTCAATCCTCTCTTCTCCATCGCCCTCTTTTCTTTTTCTTATCATTTGTCAGAAACTGGCTTCATTTCCTTAGTGAAAACTCAGAAGACGGGACTGGAGAGATGGCTCAGCAGTTAAGAGCACTGGCTGCTCTTCCAGAGGTCCTGAGTTCAATTCCCAGCATCCACGTGGTGGCTCACAACCATCTGTAATGGGATCGGATGTCCTCTTCTGGTGTGTCTGAAGACAACGACGGTGTACTCATATACATAAAATTAATAAATAAATCTTTAAAAAACTCAAAAGAGTAATAAATAACATGTCAGATACACGTCTAAGATGGATTCTAAGATTAGGTTTTCTTGACCTACTTTCAATAAAACAATGGTGATAACAATGTGGCTCCTCTCATGAGCTCTGAATGCTGACTCTGCGTTCCTGGGTGTCACCCTGCTGAGTGCACCCTCTTGATCAAGAGCAAAATTTGCCTTGTCCAGATACTTAAAATAAAATGGATAAAATGTAAAAATCCAAAGAAAAGGAGACATTTAAAGGTGTGTATGAAATGAACAAAGCATGGCATTAACCCAGAGAGTGCAGTCTGTGCCACACGCCCTTCTCATGTGTTCTGACGGCACTTCCTGCAAGTACATCAGCAGCATTTGAAAACTCATCACACAAACCCTTTCCAGTTTAAGGCTCCTGGCTGGGAGAGCTCCAGGCCAGAAAAGCAGCAATGGCCCAGAGAGGACCTAAGCCAGCAAATCCCCAAAGCTGAGTGTTCAGATCTGAATGTCCCTGCTGTCAGACCATGGGGCTACACAGGCTGTAAGCCAGGTGGGCTAACTGTAGCCCCAGAGGTCTGTGTTGGACATCACCTCTTTTTAGAATAGAAAAAGAAAGATAAAATCAAACTTAGTTTAATTTATATAAAATGTTACAGTTTTGAAAATTATGTATGTTTGTCTGTTCTAACCAAACTCAATTCAGTGCTTATTTTGCTATAATGTTTCAACTTACAACTATTTTTATGGGCATGTTTAAATCACTAGACTGCTCCCCCACCAAAAAAAGCAGCCCATCTACCTCAAGTCCTACAATGAAAGCAGCTTGAATTTTTGTCATTTTGAATAATTATTGGGATTTTAAAAGTACTCTTTAGAAAGATTTTTAGGAGGAAGCAACACATTGTTTCACATGCCTGTAATCATACTATTACTCATAGCTGAGGCAGGAGGATTGAATGTTTGAAGGCAGCCTAGGCTACACAGCAAGACCTATCTTAAAAATAAATGTTGATGCTCTTTATCCTATTCAAATTACTGGAAGGAGGTTCAGAATTTAAGGGTAAGGAGCCATCTTGAGTGTAATGTCAAATACCATCAGATTCATGTTAGTTCTACAATTTACAGTGGTAGTCATTATAATTACGAAGTTTAATGACATGTGCAGTGTATTTGGCATAATTCTAACACCTCTCAGGATGTTTTAATGATACATAGGAAGCTTATGAATTTCAAGAATGCTGCTCTGCTGAGCGTTGATGTGGCAGATAGTGCTGATAAAATTACCCATGGCCTGAGGTCAGTATTTCTATTTTGGTCAAGCTTAAAAAATGGCATATGTAGCTTGATCATACTAGCCCTTTTTTGTCCTGGGAATACTTTTATTCCTGCTCATTGTGTTTAAAATTTTCTTCAACAACATCAACATGTTGGCAGCCAAGTACATGGCTTGAACCTGAAAATGGACCCCCAGACAGAGATATTAACAGGCTGGCAAGCCAAGGAGGGCTAAGATTCTGCACAGAGCCTTACCAACCTAAGACATATGTGCATTGCTTTTGATAATGCACATTCCATGACAGCTAAGGAAGGCATTCTTGTCAGAATGACCTAAGACAGGCTCAGTCTTTTTAATGAAATAAAAAAGAGGGTGAGGCGGAGAGTCTTTGGGGCTGCTTGGCAAGAATCTGACATGGGCCAAGGTCAAGGAAATGGGCTGCTTGGCAGGAATGTGACATTGGCCAAGGACAAGGAAGTAGGCTTCAGGCAGAAATCTGACATTAGGCTAGAACAAAGAAGTAGTTTTAGGTAGGAATCTAAATTTTAGGCTAGAACAAAGAAATAGGCTTCAGACATGAAAATGACCTTGGGTTAGGACATGGAAGTAGGCTCAGATACTTTGGTCATCCTGATAAGCCCTTAGAAACAGTGATCATGGGAGTGTTCATGTAATTTGGTTTAATGCCTTGCTTTTTCTTTGACTATTTTTGTTTATTGTCTTGCTTGTTCCTTGACTATTTCTATCTATTGTATTGCTTGTCCCTCAACCTAGAACTGACCTTAATGCATGCATGTAATTAAAATGGTATAAAAACAAAAAGGAGAAGTGGTGGCTAGGGAGTTCTAGGGAGGGGAAATGGGGAAAGGGGATGACATCTGTATTGTAAATAAATAAAAATATCCAATAAAAAAATAAATACAAAAAGAGCTTACTAATATAGGAAATGATTTAATGTTTATGTATTCAGAAAATTTTTGTTTGATGATAAACATGCATTTAATTAATATTTATGTGAGAAAAATATGCTGAAAAAGACTGACACATTAGGTATTTCTAAAAAGAAAGTTGTAGCTACAAAGTCTATTATTAAGATGGAAAAGAATATATAGTAGGTGAGCAAAAGGACAGAAAGAGAGAATCATGTTTCTTTCTAGTTTGTATGTTTTGGTTCTTGTGAATTTTTGGTCCATGTCTATTCTCTACTTTTGGGACATTTAAAGCAGTTTGTGTTTTTTGTGTTTTCTAGGATTTGCGGGGGCGGGGGAAGGAGAGAGTGGGAGTAATTGTGTGCACACACACACATGTGCATATGTGTGTAAGAACTGTCATAAATTTAAACGATTTGGGTAGATGAGAAATCTGTTCAAAGTACATTATATACTTGTGTGAAATTTTTCTTATGTAATCTTGTATAATAATAAATACATGAATACAATTAAAAAAATAAATGTTTGCTGGTTTCCACAAAGCACCCTCTGCCATCTTGTATTATATTTTTCCCAGAATGAGCATTTTACTTGGCTTCTCTTAAAGACTGTGAAGAGCTTAAACACAGATGCTTCAAGTCAGACATTCTGGTTGATAGTAATACTGTATTTATTTGGATTCATTTTGGGCAGCATGCTCCTTGGACTCATTGTTTCTCTGAGGGGAAGAATTCTCTAAATGCCTTTAGACTGGTCTGTCCAGGGGTTCACTTGAAGTGGACGCACATGTAGAAGCATTAGGGATTTGCGGGGACAAAAACGTCTTCTACAGAGGCAGGCAGGCGGCATGGTCTTTGTCTTACACAATTATGGAAGCTGTGAACAAGAAATTGGCCATGAAGCTGACCATATGCTTTGGTCTAACTGCCTTGGTCACGTGCTTCAGGGAGTGAGGACCTCCTAGACAGCGGAACTCCCCTCCTCAGCTGGAGCAGAGGGAGACCTTCCTTTTGGACATGATGGTTGGGGAGTCTGCTTGTGGATCAGAAGGGAGACACTCTTTTGTCATTTTCTGAGATGGTCCTTCTAGGGAAGGAAATATGACCCTGAAAGACACTTCCACAGCCAAATCCGAAGATGGCAGCACCAGGGATCCTGTGGACAATGGACATGGCCTGAAGTTGTGGCTGCCTGGTGACCACAATCTTACAGTGCTCATAAATACACCTCTGTGCTCAACCTAGGAGTGCCCAGGCTTGAGCCAAAAGGTCCAGAGCACCTCAGTGCAAGTCAGCTTGCTGGAGCCACGTCCAACCAAGGTCTAAGAGTCAGAAAACAGGTTAGAGCAGGCAATGCCTGAAACACTGTAGAGGGGTAAGTGAAAGGCCAAGTGGAACTTCTGGCCAATATAATGTATCAAAAATATAATCTCAAAGGCTGTGTACATCGGTTGTGGTTAACTAATATTTGAATAAGTATTTTACCATCATATATAGAAATTTCTGAATCCATATCATCCTTCTTTGCTTTTGATAAGACCCACCTGTAAATAAAAGTGAACAAAGATATTTGCCATTAAAATAAGATTTGCAATTTATAGATAAAAATGCCTGTAAAAATACAAGAAGTTGTTACCCAACACAATCAGTTTTTTTCATTCAGAAGGAATTAGTACTAAGAAGTTGGTAAGTTAATCTAGCCTTTGAGCACTCCCAGGGGGTGGGAGTTCAATCGGGTCGGCTTTGCTGGTGTCTTGGGAGTAAGCATGCACACAGGGCTGGGCTCTCAGTGGGAAGTGGGGAGTACACATATGACTATTAGCAGAGGGTCTGGGGCACAGTAACCAGTATGCATTAACCCTCACAGGGGTGCATACAATCACTGTGGCTGCCACAGAAACTCAGAGCTGCGTTATGAAAACAAGCAAACACTGTGTGCCTTCTCTGCATTCCCAATTTGTGTCTCTTTGTATAAATACACAGCTTTAAATTATCCCAGAAGGTCACAGGAGAGCTGTTTCTCATAGACCAATAGCTTCAGAAAACTCATCAAACTGAATAAAGTGTGGGAACACTCACCCAGCCAGGTTTCCACTATCAAATGTTTCTGTAAAATATACTTCTCCTATAGGTTGAGGTGTCTTATACTTAATAGTCTAGAAAAGAGAATTTTTAAAAGCTAAAGTTATTTATTTTTGCAAATATCTGATGTCATTCTGCTGGTTCAGAAGCTAGTACACGGTGCACAGGGCGACAGAGTTGGAGAGGCATGGCCTCTGGTTACAAAGCTCATGTCTCAGCAATGTCACAATAAAACCTGTTATTTTGTACACTGGTGTTCAGTAATGAATTTTTAATGTTTGTCCCATTTCTCACCTCACCAAACAAAGTCATGCATGATGAACAGTCTTGATTTTTTTTCTAAAAGTATGAACTTCCAAAGACCCCTGTAGTAGGGTGTCTGCCCAGCTGTTGGTACTTTAAGCATTGCTTTGCAAATCACAAGGCTGGTTTCAAAAGAAACACCAGTGCAGAGACTGAGATTTAACAGGGGAAGCACGATAGTCACTGCAAACGGATAATAGCATTTATATTTGTATATCCAGCACATATGAGATGAAGCAAAGGAATCTGAGCGCTCTCTTGAATTCTCGGGCCCTTTAAACAGAGGCTGGCAGGCATGACAAGATGGAGGATTTCTAGTCATCACGGTATTAAATGTGAATACACACACAATATGAAGGCACCAGAGACATGGTTCTCAACTTGTGGGTCACGACTCCTTGGCTTGGGGCCTGGGGTGGAATGACCCTTTCACAGGGGTCATCTAAGACTATCGGAAAACACAGATACTTATGTTACAATTCATAACAGCAGCAAGACTGCAGTAATGAAGTAACTACAAAAATAATGTTTTTGGTTGGAGTCACCACAACATGAGGAACTGCATTAAAGGGCTGCAACATTAGGAAGGTAGATTACTGCTCTAGGGAACGGTCAAGGTGGATACACCAAAATCTCTGTAAAGTTCTGCAGTCATGTCCTCAGAATGCAAACCTTAACAGCACAGAGGCGGAGCCCTGGTTCAGCCCAGCTAAAGCCCACTTCCTCACCCTTCCCTGTTCAAATCCACCCCCCTTGTAGCCATTTTCTACTCACAGAGAAATAAACAAAAGCCAATCCTGAAGAACCACAAATATGTCACCTTCCATTTTGTCTGGAGAAGGCTGGTATTGTCCGAACTAACACCAAAGGCCTTTGTCTTTGCTAAAGGACTTGGCCCTCTTTAACCAGTGAACGTCTGTCTTAGCAAAAGCTTCCCATGTACTTATTGAGCACAACTGGATTAGGTGTCAAACACAAATTTTTGCTGTATGTGGGCACTCTAAGGAACACAGCTGGAAAAGTGGAGGTTTTACTATCTACTGAGAAGACAAAGGCTGTCAGGAGGGAAGAACATGTATGATGAGAGATCTGTCACGTCTATGACCACGGAAAGAATAGCTTATAACTCACTTCTCAACCGTCTTACCCCTGAGAAAGAGTCATCTTTAATATTACTCTCGTCTGAATTTTCACTGAAGTCTTCCACCTCAACATCATCATCCATAAAATCCGCGTTGACCGTGATGAACAGGAGACCCAAGCATAGTCCAACACCCTGGAAATGCATAGTGACTCTCTGGGAAATGAAGAGCAGCCAGTGAAAAACCAGGTGGGGATGCCAGGTCGTAAGAGTCAAAGGAAGATATGACTTCTCCTTTATTCTAGGATGCTTTAGCCATTAACAACATTATTTAAAGTAAGCCTTAAACAAATAAAACACCAACTTCTAACTTTCATTTCTAAGTCTTCCTCTACAATTAAAGAGCTAATATACAAAGGTATAACGATGTCAGCAAGTGCCTATGAGATGCAAATAATGTGCAGATATTACGATCCCTAAATTTTCACTTATATTATTTCACATAACGTAGCTTAAGTATATCTAAAATTGGACATTTGATAACTGTACAGCTATAATTGACTTACATCTAAACACCAAAAACTAAGGGATTTTTAATCATACATTTAGTGAAATAGTAGCTTTAGCTTTGCCAAAGTCAAATCCCATGCCGTAGCAAGCTGTCTGCTGAGGGCCATGCTCTTTTGAACTCATCATTCCTAAACTTCCATGATCATCACCTAGTTTTCTGACTGCACATCTCTTCAAACAATGCAGAACTGCAGTGTTCGAGAGGAACAAAGGCCACAGGCAGCTTGCCATCCTCTTAACAGAAGCACTTGGCTTATGTAATTATGTTCTTGTCAGCATATACTTATTCAAAATTTCTCCCATGGTACCAACAGACTTTCAAACGAGTAATGTTGGGCACTGAGTTCCATGTCATCGATTCAAAAGCAGTCACACAATAATACATCCTCCTCCTCTCCCTCTTCCTCCTCTTGTATGCTGCTCTTTCCACAACGCTAACATCAACATGGGGAAAATTTTAAAGCAGAGTCTTAGAATTCTAAGACTTCTTAGAAAATAGATAGCTATAGATGGTATGGGTTTACTTAAGAAGGGTGGGCCTGATAGAGATGGTGCTACAATAGCACCAGGATTGCTGTTATCATCAACAGTGAAGACTGAAAACCACAGAGACCAGAGGAACTGGAACCCTCCCACACTGCTGAGGTGTGGCAATGTACCATTCCAACAGCAGTAGAAAAAAATGTGGTATGCTTCAACGTGTCCAGCGATTCCATTCAACAATAGCTAAAATAAACCAAAACATCCTCACAAAGCCTTAGACATGAGCCACAGATACATTTCTTGTATCCATCCAAATGTGGGCCAATTCAAATGCCCATCAGCTCATGAGTGTCCAGACCGAAGCTGAAGCCCTCAAACCCTGGAAAAGCACCCAGCAACAGAAAAGGACAGGAATGCAGGAACACAAAACTATTATGCCTAGGGGAAAGTCAGTTATGAGAAATCATAAATGTTGTACTATTCCACTTTAAAGAAGTCAGAAAACCTACAGCACTGCAGAACAGATGGGAGACCGGCCAGCCAGGGCTCAGGGAGAGAGCTAGTGGGCGTCTCTTCTGAGGGCGATCAAGTGTCCAGTATTGGAATCTGGTAGTGGTTACCTAAGTCTATAAATCTAATTACATATATTAAGCAGTTTATCTTGAGGATACACAAATTATATATTATTAGAGCATTTTATAAAACAGATCACAAAAAACATTATTTTACTTAACTACTTCCACGGACACAACCCCCCCCCCCCCTTTTAGATGACTGTTTGAGCCGGATGACCTTGATTTCTTCTAAAGGTGTTTACTTTGAAAATGCACATTTTGGAAACCACTAAACAGAAATCTACCTTAATAGGAGCTTTCTAAACTCAGGTACTGCCATTTTTATGGACAGAGACAACACACACACACACACACACACACACACACACACACACACGAGGAGAGTGATTTCTGGGAGAGGACAGGACTGTCAGGAAAGGAGATCACTTACACTTGGTAACAAGGATTTAGCCTGCTTTCTTAATTATCTACTTTTTTTTTTTTGGTGAAGAAACTAACATTTGTAGACGGCAAAGCTTACCCCTAAAAACTTGTTTTAAAAGCCTTTCATGATTTATATAGACACACTTCACAGTATTTTACTTGATGTGCTCTCACTCCTGGCTCTTCAGTGAGGGAGAGAGCTCCCTGCAGAGTACTTGCCTGCACAATGTTCTAAGTTCAATCTCTAGTACCAAAAAGAGAAAAAAAGGAAAAAGAAAACCAAACCAGTTACAACACTTTTAAAAGCTGGGCACATGGCACATACCTATCATCCCATCATACAGGAGCCTGAGAGGCAAGATTGCCAGGAGCTCAGGCCAGCCGTACAGAACAAGACATTTTTCAACAACCATCAAAAAATAACCCTCCCAACAGGTGGACGGCATAATATAATAACAGTATCAAAGAGCCTGGAGGGCAGCGGGGTGGCTCAGCAGGGAAGATGCTTCGTGCCAAGACTGAATAGCTAAGTTACAGCCCTACAACCCATATGCTGGGAGAACAGACTACACACACACACACACACACACACACACACACACACACACACACACAGTACATAAATAGATAACTGTAAAAAAAACCCAAGAACATCAATATCACTTTGAAATCATGTTTTTTCTTTCAAAATAAAATTTCAGTTAAAGTTCCTGGAGAGTTCACATTGTTAACCTGACAGACTCTAGAATCCGCTAGAGAAAAATATCTGGGCAGGCCTGTTCACAGGGGCGTCTGGATTGTGCTGGTTGAGGTGTGAAGACTCATCTTAGTGAGGATGACACTACTCTGTGGGCTGAGGCCCAGAACTGAGGAAGAGGAGACAGTGAGCCTAGCACCAGCATTCGTCTTTCTCTGCTTCCTGACTGCAAACACTGTGTGAGCAGCTGCCAGGCCTTCCTGGCCACCATCTACTGTGTTCCCTCAGACTGTAAGCCAGAATAAACCCTTCCCCTCGTAGTTCCTTTATCTAGCATTTCTGTCTCAGCAACAAGAGAATTAACAAAGGAGCTATGTTCCTGTCCACTTTATCATATGGCAATTCTGCTTTCAGCTTCTGAGGATACCCAGGGATGTGGGGGCTGTCTGCCTCCTTAGCACGGGGGGGGGGGGATTACAGGCGCACACCACCACACTAGCTTCTCTTCCTATATATTAATTTTCAAACCCGGGAAAAATGTCTGATGTGCCTACTTAACATATAAAAGCAGACCTTGCCTCTATGTTTTCCCCAGCCTCCCTCAGTCCCTACCTGCCACAGAGTATAAATGGCATATTTTGCTCTCTACCCTGAAATTTCCAGCCCAGGGGCTGGGCTTCCCTTCCCCCAGAGACTCTTCCCAATAAAATCTAGACAAAATGGATACCCACCCATTTTTTTTCCTTTGGTCTCTTGGCTGCTGCACCTGGTTCCTCTCTCTCCCCACCCCCTTTCTCCTCCCCCCTCTCCTCAGGGTTCAGGGACCTGAGGACTCTGAGCTCTCCGAGAGGTCTCATTCTCTGGCTGCTCTCCTGCTTGTCTAGGGTAATCTAGCTCCTGCAGCACACCTAGGCGCAGTCATGTATGCACCTTTTCTCCTTATTTATTTTTTCATTCACTGTATATACTTTTTGCTTCTCTCTATGAAAGCTATCTGAGGATTACTGACCCTTACTCACAGTTCAGAGGTCACTCTTTAGTTCACAGTTCAGAGGTCACCTCTAGTTCACAGTTCAGAGGTCACCTCTAGTTCACAGTTCAGAGGTCACCTCTAGTTCACAGTTCAGAGGTCACCTCTAGTTCACAGTTCAGAGGTCACCTCTAGTTCACAGTTCAGAGGTCACATTTAGCTTTGGGAACTTATTCACCCTCAAACACAAACCACTGCCTTCCTTAATTTGAACTCGCTCTTTCTTCTGACTTGAGATATGCTTACTGTGGCCACTGAGATAGCTCAGAGCTTGCTGCTAAGCCTGAGGACCCAAGTTTAATCCCCAGGAGCCGCATGGTGGAGGGAAAGAACTGATTCCCACAGCTGTCCTCTGACCTCCACATGTGTCATAGTGCTCGGCCACCCCACCTATAAACACATAAGTGCAAGTTTTATTTTTGAGACAGGGTTTCTCTGTATAGCCCTGGCTGTCCTGGAACTCACTATGTAGACCAGGCTGGCCTAGAAATCAGAGATCCACCTGCCTCTGCCTCCCAAGTGGTGGGATTAGTTTAATAAATCATACCTGGTTTAATAAATGTAATTTTAAAAATTGTAAACATGTTTGTCTGTGTCTTTAATTCCCCTTCACACTAGAAGACTGCATCAGATCCCTTTACATGTGGTTGTGAGCCACCATGTGGTTGCTGGAAATTGAACTCAGGACCTCTGGAAGAGCAGTCAGTGCTCTTAACCGCTGAGCCATCTCTCCAGCCCCTGAAAACAACTCTTAAATTAGACACTACCTTAAAAATGTTTAGTAATTCTGATCATATATTGCTCCTTCCACAACTCACTTTCATCCTGAGTATTTGCCACATCACCTCTCTCTACTAGATCGATCTCTCTCTCGATCTCTCTCTCTCTCTCTCTCTCTCTCTCTCTCTCTCTTTCTCTCCCTCTCTCTCTCTCTCTCTCTCTCTCTCTCTCTCTCTCGGGGTGTGTGTGTGTATGTGTGTGTCTCTCCTGTGTGGTTATGTACATGTATGTGTGCCAGAGGAGTCCAGGAAAGCCCATCAGATGCCCTCTAGCTGGAGTTACAGGTCCTGGGCTGGGACTCGGGTCCTCTGCACAAAGCAGTGTGTGTTCTCCACCACTGGGTCCTCTCTCCAGCCCCAGTACTTTCCTGTTTAACTTACTCACACTCCTGTAAATTGATGCTCTTATCACTGAGGATTTTGCCTGTGTTCAGAGCTAAGGCTGGCTGAGGTAGCAGACATCATCTGCACGCCTTTGGAGTGATGTTTGAAAATGCCCTGTGATTCTTTCGTGTGGCATCAGAAGCTCAACTATAGAATGACAGCACTCGGAAGCTCTCTGCTCTTGATACCTGACACTAAGTGACTAACACTGTTGTTCAAAGGACAACTGAACTGGCCTCGGCTCTGGGCCTCTTGTCACCTATGAACTGAGAGAAAGTTCTATCAAAGCTGACAGATCCTGTTTTCTAATTACATAAGAAGGAAATTTTAATGACACTGGAACAAGCCCTGAGCCTGCTTTCAGCACCCACTTGCTAGCTGCACATCCATCAACACACTCCACCACCTACAGACACAAACCAACAAGACCAACTAAAACACAAGACAAAAAAACTCTCTGGAGCTTAGGGGACAAGATCAGTGTGTCTGGATGACCAAACCAACAGAGTACGGACTAGAAAGTGGTCAAAATTACAATTGCCAAATAAAAATGCTACCTAGATAGATGTCAAAATTTCAGGGCAAGAAAAAGCAGCCATGGATAACTATTTTATACATCAAAAAGTTTCAACATAAATTAATCTTCTTCGGAGATGCTTACCCACTGACCACCTAATTTTTAACATTTTTATTTTGCCTAATTAGTTTATTTCTGTTTACACATTCTGTCTCCAGCTCCCAACTTCCTAGTCTTTTGATCTTTAACCCCGGAAGCCCCCTGCATAGCTTCTTCCTCCTGGGTGGGGCAGATGCCACTTAAATTCAGCTAAAGTATCTGACTGATAGTAAACAGGCTTTCGATAATGAGTCTCTAGTCATTAAGGTTTTCTGGATTCAACACACTCCTGATCACTCCCCAGTGGCTTCTGTTAGGCTCCACCCAAGTGTCTAGGGAGTGGCTCAGATTCTCTGGCCACCTTCACCGAGTTGGGGGCGGGGGAACGGTAGGATCCTTTGGGCTTCGCAGAGAGGTGGGCTGCAAATGAGGAGCCCACGTTGGTTTTATTTGCGTTTTCTAGAAAGGTGCAAAGAACTCTCCAGAGATCGTAGGTAGAGCTCGGTGGAGCGGGACCACAGTGGCAATCTCAGCCGTGGCAACCGCTGGGATAACGGACTCGAGGGACGCCAGGCTGGCCAGGGCAACCTGGCCTTCCCCAGAGTCAGCGAAGCAGGGGGAGGACCCAAGGGACTCGCGGTGGCGTCTCCCTCCACCCAGGGCTGATCTCTGTTCCCGAGGCTGGCAGAGACCACCCAAGAGTCTAACTCGCTGCACATTCAAACCCGAACTCAATCTCCAGCCTCACCTGGCCGCACCAAGCTGAGCCTTCTAGTGTCAGAATAGGATGCTGCCGGGTACCTGGATCCGATTCCTCACCTGGTCCCAGGGAAGAAGCCGCAGGAAGGTGTCTCGCGGTCTACACACCTGTCCTGCGGGCTTGTGACCAGCAGCGGCAGCTCAGGTGTCCGACTGGCCGCTACTCGGTGCCGGCGTCTCCCCAGACCGATCCCGCCGGCAGCCGCCCAGCAGCGACTGCTAACTGCGCGTGCGCGAGCGGCCGTGCCGGAGGATGCAGGATGCAGTGGCAGCCCCAGAGCGCGAGCCTCCGGCTCAACCGCCGCTCGGGACCCAGCGGCCACGCGCCTGTGGCGGAGGGCGGGGGGATGAGGTCCTCCCAACGTCAGTCCCTCTCTGGAGCTCAGGCTGCCAGCTCTGCAGACTGCTCGGTTCTTCGTGTCGCACCTTAATTGACTCCCGGATGGATGTTGGATGGATGGATAGAGTTTTTGTTTTTGTTTTTTTCCTTCTTTCTTTCTCTTGTTTTGTTCTGTGACATGATGGTCTTATCTAGTCCAGGCTGGCCTCAAACTCTTTGTGTAGCCAACGATGACCTTAAACTTCTTGATGATCCTCCTTCCCTTCTCCCTGACTTTTGGAGTTACGGACTTGCACCACCACGCTGTTCCGCGGCAGTGATCAAAGCCCTCTTGGTGGGTTTAGGCAAGCTCTGTATCAGCTGATCTCTTGTTCCTTGAATTTTATCTCAACGTTTTTAAAAGAGTGCCAGGATAGGCCTGCCAAATTTCATACGCTAAAATTTTCCCCATATTTCTGTATTTTAGCAGCTGATTGCTCATGGTTGGCAGTCAGGAAGCTTTCTATTTCACATATGCTCATGGCATGCTATTACATTATAAATGAAACGATACATTTTCATTTTGGCAGCATTGATATTAATTTACCTTAATCTTGAACACACACCTTGAAGGTGTTAACTGCTTTCTTTCTATGTGCTTACAATTCTGTGTGTTGTTTTTATCGGGTATTTGTGTGACCAAACGTTGAGTCTGTGTAAACGTTCTGTTTTCTGTCCATAACTGTTCACAGTCTGTTCCTTGATTTAGGATCTGTCAGTCATTTCTTTGCTTGACCCAATTTTACTATGGTTTCAATACAGTACCTTTAACCGCCTTCATTCCTTTTTAGGCACAGCAACATACTTTTAAAAACTTAAACATCCCTATCCAAGAATCCATCCTATCTAAGCATAGGATGTTTTATCCAACCACTATGCTCAGTTACTGTGGTACCCAAATTGTCTTAGGTGTAACTGAAGGAGGTGTGAAGTGGAAACTTAAGGGTTCTTTGGAAAGTCAGTTGGATGGTGTTTTTCTGGGACAAACACTTGCAGGAATGTTTCATTAAAGTGGACATAGGTGTGAACAGCTAAGGCACAGACTCATGAAGGAGTGTTATACCGAAGCAGACTCAGGAGAATGTTTGCAAGCAGGTGAGAGGACGCAGGATGCAGGATGCAGGATCTTCCCCTAATGACATGTTTGTATTGGTCTGCCTTACATTGTGTAGTTGAGCTGTATCTGTCAGAACTCTGTAGAAAGAGACACACCAAAGAATTGTTGGTAATGTGTTGTAGTTTTTTGTTGCTTTTGCGGACTTGGGCTGATGAGCAGAGCGATGTCAGCTGAGATGGATGCACGTGCTGGGGCAAGACCCCTGGAGGACACGTGATGTTTACAGGGAGTATAACGAAGGACTCGAACAGTGACGGGCTGAGCTAGGCTTGCTTATAGAGCTAGCTTTGCAATATTTGCTGGTCTCGAGTCTTTGCTGATCTTTGATTGGTTGAGAGAGGCATAGTCAGAATTTTTGGCATTCCTCTTGGTCTCTCCTGAGGACTTGAGCCAAGGCTGAGGCCTAGCTGTCTCTGCTAGGCCATGTCACTGCTGTTGCTAACCTGACTCTACCAAACAACTGCTGGTGTATCTGTGAAGTATTTGTGAGTAGATCAAGCTGCTGCTACTGACCTGTGAATTGAACTGTCCATTTCTTGACAACACAAACAGAAGTTGCTCCAAAGAACCTTTCTAAATAGGTTTATTTCTCCCATATCTTTTTTTCTATTACCTCTAATGGGTGGTGGGCTACAAGGGAGGGTAAAGGGCTTAAGAATCATTATTAAAAATAGGCATTGAAAAATTAAAGTTACAGAGATGTCTTCAAGTTATCTCCGGTGGCCTTTCAACATGATCCTATTGTTTCTTAATTGGTACTTTAAAATATGGTTTATATGAAATTTGCTTATGTTGGGGATATGCAAATATCGAAGGAACACAACAAAAAATACTTCCAAAAGCTTTCTAGACCTCATCCCTAGCAATCATAGACCTGTGGAACTCAATAAAAATGGAGTATAAACACTTCCATGCTTCTTTCAGCCTCGGTTCATTCACATGCCTAAATCCAAAGCTTTCATTTCCATATTGCTTTGTGGCTTTGCATCGTACTGATGTACAGCTGCTTACAAATATACTTTTTAAATGGACATTTTGGATAGTTTCTGGATCAATACTATTGCAAATAAAGATACTGTGGGTATTCTTAGACAAGCCTGTGGCATGTCTAGGACAGAGGTTCTCCTTCCTCTTTAGTAGCTGTAAGCAGAATGGGTGAGATACCTGGGGTATCTGTGAAGAAAGGTGCTAAGCTATGTGTTACAATGTAGCTGTGTGATTTTAAGATCCCACCAGCAATATGCAAGAATGTTGCTCTACCACTGTTAAGCCTGGTCAATATTTAATCTGAGCCTTTTGGGCAGCTGATCCACAGTGTCTCAGTTTAAGTACTATGTAGCTCTCTCATACATTACTAAATGTATTCTGCCCATTGAATTGTCTTGTTGATGAGCTTTGGTCTTTTGCTGTGTACTGTAATACTAAGTGCGGGCCCCCAAGACCTGGTTGCCCCAGAGATGAGAGAATCCACTGCATGTAAACCCAGGTGAAGCTATGTGACCTTACCCCCAAATTATTTCTGATTGGTAAATAGAGATGCTGACAGCCAATAATAGCTGGGCAGAATAGACATAAGTGGGGTTTAGGATTCCCAAACCATGAGAGGAAAATGGTGAATGGAGGAAGGAGACACCATGGGTTGGGAATGACGATAGTGTGGCCCTGAGGGATGGCCAACTGGATTGAAGAGCAGCCCAGAAGAAATATAGTAATAACTTGGGGTTATTGCTAAGAAATAGATTTTTAATAGCATAGAGAGTAGATATCTGCCCAGCACTAGTGCTGATTAAGGTGTATTATAAATAATAAAAGTTGTGTGTCTTTTATCCAGGAACTAAATGATCAAAGGCAAGGTAGAAACCCCAGATTGGAAATAAGGATTTCTACAACGTCTCGTATTTTCACAAGCATTATAGGAGAGGAAGCTGATGTCGAAGAAGTACCTGTGCATTGCAATATCATGTTTTGTTTTTTGCAGGATCGTGGATTTCTATGAGCCTCTCCCCCTGAGCTCTGGCTCCAGCCTCTTTCATGTTTGCATGGAAGACATATTTAATTTTTCAGATATCTTTCCAGCTTCTATAAAAATAAAAAAATGTTCTTTCTGAAACCAGTTTATTCAATGTAATAAGTTTTCTAATAGGCCCCTAGGGTTCATACATCCTGGATGTAAACACCAAGACATGATTCGCTGTGGTCTTGATGAAGCTTGGACAGTTCATATTGCACTGAGGAATTTTCGATCAGTTAGCATTTGTTGTTATACAGTATGTGTGTGTGTGCATGCGTGTGTGTGTGTGCGTGTGTTCATTATCCAGATCATTGTTATTCTTACCCCATAAAAGAATTTGGAAATTTGCTATGACCTGAAACAATTTAGAAATAGTGGAGTATAATTGTTCGGGGTTTTGAAGCTTTCCCTTCCTTATGGAGACCCCAGGGTTCAATTGAAGCTTTCCCTTCCTTATGGAGATCCCAGGGT